TTTGATATGACATGTTAATCTATTCACTTAAAGTTCGAAAACAAATTTCATTTTGATTCTCTCTGTTTCAATTATAAATTAAAGTCGACCAAACTAAATATTTGACCTACATAACCATGATAACATACCTTCCTCTGAAAAGTTGGATAAGAAAAGGTTAAGAAACTTAAGCACCTAGGGTTTTTCTTTATATTTTCTTTTGTTGAGTCATATGAAATTCCAAACTTCTGATTGCTTTTCTTCTGAAATATCTTGTTTTAGTTTTTGAAGTTTAAGTTTGTGATGTATATTCTTAACAATGTTTGAAAGGTGATTAACCCTCCGGTTATATTTTCAGTGTGTATCAATTACTATTTTCATTTCAAGGTTATGAAATGCTATTAAACAGCCGAATGTCACAGTAGTGATCAGCTTGTTTACAAATCGGTCTCCCGTTCTTTTATATGTATTAGATTTTGATAGAGAAAAACTCATCATAGATAACCGAATTAAAATTTCATGCGCCAGACATCATTTATCAGTTTGTCACATAAAAGACAGAAACGTGAATTTTAAAGAAATGTTTAAAGAAAAGTATGTTCACTTAACTAGTACACACTTTTGTTTAGGGAACAGCTGAAGCCCGCCTCCGGCTGCGGGATTTTCTCGCTGAAGACCCGTTGGTGGTCTTGGGCCGTTTTCTTCACTTTGGTAAGGTTGTTGTCTCTTTGACAAATTTCCCATTTCTATTCTCAATTTTATATCTTCCTGAAAGGACAACCCCTGTAGAATATATATATAAAAAAAAGAGAAATCCAACTCAAAAAGGTTTGATTTTTTCTAATCAATTTTATTAAAACAAAATGAAATAATGGAAAAAAAACACAAAACGAATTCATCTAACCAAACGTAAACTGATTTTTATTTGGTATGGAATCGCATGATAGGAAGCACAATGTAAAGAAAAGTTTCCATTTTCTTAAGCTATGAATACAAATACACGAACTCAGCTTATTACTCTCACATTTTCTTCAGTTGTTTATATATTTTTTGGCCTTCTTTTACTTGAGGGGTATCTGTTCTTTCGATTAGGGACATTTTTAATGGAAAGGGTAAGTTTAGGTTTTTTTCTAAGTTTAGGTTAGGTTTAAGTGTTAGAGCTATTATACAATAGCCATAGACATGTTAGATACACAATAAGAAAAAACATGTATGGGTTTAGATTATTAGGTTCAGGATCTTTGTTACTTTGGTTGATATCACCCCAAGTTTTGTTTGGGGTTCGTGTTGCTCAGTCTTTATTTCTCTATGTTGTGTTTGATGTACTATTGTTTGTCTATTGGTCTTTTTTTTAAGCCATGGCGTTGTCAGTTTATTTTCGACTTGCGAGTTTGCATGTCCCTCTGGTATCTTTCGCCTCTCTTTTATTATGACTCAGAACGGGTTGGGACCATTAAAGTAAAACAGAAGGGCATACTATACTTTTATAACCATTCTAAATATCTTACCGCATTTATACAGATCATTTTTTTATATCAATAAAATCTAATACATGTTCAATTCTTCATTTATTAAACCAAAAACATTGCGTTTAGTGGTGAAGTATCTTCTCCATCATGAGTAGGTTTAAAAGAGTACCAAAAAATATTTTTGTAGTATCTGCATTTTCACTGAATACTGCATTCTTTTAACTCATGGCATATTAAAATAACCTACACCATTATTTGACTAAATACTTGGAACCTTGTTGCTATACCATTCGGAAATCAAGTCCTTAGTAACAACCGTTGTTGTTACTGATCCTTCTAAAGACGTAGTCATACACGCGATTTTGACCATACGTTTCTTTCCCGGAAAAAGAAATTAGCGGGAAATTTAGAAATTTTCTGTTTTCTGATTCTTAGTCTAGAAATACGATTTTGTGTCGCATGCTTTTTTCTTATGACATTATTTTTGTCTCATAAATCGATTTCAACATGTGTTTATGGTTTCCAAATTTAAAGAAAATAAATTAGATTCTTAATTTTGTGTTAAATACATTAATGATTGCTTTTAAGAATAACAAATGTTCATTAGAACTTGGGGCATGTGCCCTCCTTTTTCGTTTGTTGTGCATTTTATGATGCTAAATATTTAAAAAAAAATAAACTTATAACTGGTTGTCTCAGGCACATTTGTTTAACCATATTTGTAGTAAATCATGCAATATAGGATATGTGTCAACTCACAGAAGCCTTAGTTGCCTTTTCGTTTCTGGTGGCGGTTTGTATCTACAATCTTTCAGCTATTCAGAAATTTTATAGAAGCATTCCTCGGTTATTCCAATTGTCTAATATATTTTGTTTCTGAAGACAGAGTAAAAAACAAATCGAAGATACCAGGCTTATAATTTTGTACGTCAGACATACTTTTCGTCTACAAAATACTCATCAGTGACGCTAGGGAATTTTTTTTAATGCCAAATAGAATACAAGGAACATTGAGGACCAAAAATGCTTGACGCAATTTTGATTGGACGCGGCGTTGCTAGTCTCCGAATGCAATAATCATATCATAATGTTCGACAAATTCGAAACATGTTTTGTTATTGGCACCAAAATTCAAAAATGCAACATATAAAATATCTTCCGAACTTGTCGGTCTTAAGGATGCCACGTATTGTATGTGGAGTCTACGGTATCTTCAGTTTAACTTGCGTTCACCACGTATTTCCGAAGAGAAGATAGACATATTCAAAAAGTACTTGGTTGACTAAAAAAGGAAGAGAAAAACAGAGATAAGTTCTTCTGATGGACAGTTTACAGTTGTAAACAAAGCTAAATGAATCATCTAACAGCCATGCCAAAGAAAACGCCCGAAAAATGAAAGGGCAGCCAAGAGATGAACAATCTAACTTTTTTTATTTTGTAATTTTTATGTAATATATATGAATGCAAGATTACTGTAATAAATAATTAACTAAGGAAGGATCAGGAAGGAGAAATTGAACTACACAATGACAAAACAGACTCTAAAAATGACATAAATATATGTATTGAAAAAAATAAAAAAGAATTCAACTGCCCAGAACCTAAAAAATACCTTCAATAATTATATTGAAATAGACATTTAATCTGAAAAAAATTCAAAAATGACGTCAATATATATGTAGCTGAAACAATAACATAATAAATAGACTTTAACTAACGCTGTGTGTATTCTTCGTTTAAGGGCATACGATACAGTTACAGGGGAGATAAAGACGTCGCTAACGTAAAATGTTATTTTTCACGGTGTCAAACTGTGACATATCGGGAAAAGATGCATTTTTCGACTGATTTTAATCATTCAGCCTAATTTAACTTGAAAACGAGTTTATATGCCCTCTTTTTGTCATGTGATGTTGTCGTTTTGGTGTTGTGTTTGACGTTGCCATAAAAGCGGGAGGTTTGGCATGCCACAAAACCAGGTTCAACCCACCATTTTTTTCTTAAAATGTCCTGTTCCAAGTCAGGAAAATGGCTACTGTTATATTATAGTTCGTTTCTGTGTGTGTTACATTTTAATGTTGTATTTTTGTTGTGTCGTTGTTCTCCTCTTATATTTGATGCGTTTCCCTCAGTTTTAGTTTGTAACCCGGATTTGATTTTATCTCTATCGATAAATTAGTTTCGAACAGCGGTATACTACTGTTGCCTTTATTTAAAAATTGCATTTGGCTTGATTATGTATGAAGATTATTTGTGCCAATTTTATGAGCTATTCACCGATGGATTTTTTTTAGATTAGATAAATATACAGGAAAAAAATCCGTGTTTTTACTAAAGTCATAAAAATGTAATAAAAACGAATTATTTCTAAAGTTATACAAATTTAAAGCACACTTATGTAGATAAGATATTCCGAATGTTGTCACAAAAATCCACTTACGTTTCTCTTTTGAAACAAAAAAGTTCGGTATGTCTTTCTAAAGAATAGAAATGTCAAATAACCGAAATTCCAAGTAAATGTCTGAAATTTCGACCCAATTTCTCTCTAAAAGTAGCACATGAAGGTATAATGTTTATTACATATTTGAATTGACTAGGTGAAAATTAGCTTGTATGCAAACTTTCGTCAAAATGTCACCGTGGAATCAAAACTGTATCGTATGTCCTTAATTATTCTTTGAAATTGCGAAAAAATTTAACAAATTCAACATCTTTCTGCTTTTATTGACTCACATTATTGTTTTTTTCATAGTTTTAATTCACTTTTTTGGTGTTCGGCTGTGTTTTGCGGTGTTCTGTGGTGTTGGGCGGTGTGCAGTGGTGTTTGGCGGTAAAAAGACAGGCCCTTTCAAACTGGAAGTTCTTTCCCAAAGGGAATAAACTCCACGATAACCGAAGGATCAGTTTGGCGAAGTTTTTAGATCCATGTTCTTTTTCAGATTACAGAATTTTTTCTGGACAAGTGCACACATCAACAGGCACAACTCGATAAAGTAAATAACACATTCTTCAACTTGTAGTTTACATTTCAATTGAAAGTTATCAATTGATTGTACTTTTTGGTTGAAATGCTAGAATTTAAAAAAAGGTGGAGACTTGTCAAATTTATATAAAGCTGGTCCAGATAATTATGGCGTCTTCTAGGCCTTCAAAGTTTTGTGGGAGATTCTATCCATGATTTTCTTTTTTGCAATTAATTTTATGAACAGTTGCCACCTACAGTTGGATATGAGTTGTTATTTCGCTTTCTGCTTTCAACTCATGATTGTTTAATTACATGCATGCAGATAAAAATATAACATATAAACTTAACGTAGCAAATCACAATGTATATGTTAATTTTTTTTTTGCTTATGTAAATATAAAACACAGCTACCGGCTATATCTTTATTGCAGTATATCTATAGAAATATACATGTGGAAAATTATTTAAATTCATGTCCGTTTTACCATTTCGAGAAAAAAAAGATCCCTATATCTATAATAATAATTATCATCTTTCTTTCAACCATGCACCCCACCATACAAAACAGGTCCGCCATCACGCACACCCTATCCTGCACCATATGGATCATATCCTCTACCAAGCGCAGCATATCCTCCACCATGCGCAACATTATCTCGGCTACCATGTTTACAACCATGATCAACACGATGATTGCCACCATGATCAACACGATGATTGCCACCATGATCAACACGATGATTACCTTCATGATCAACACGATGATTGCCGCCATTATCAACACGATAATTGCTACCATGATCTACACCATGATTGCCATATCCACTACCATGATTGCCATCATGATCAACATCTTGATTGCCACCATGATCAACACGATGATTGCCACCATGATCAACACCATGATTGCCACCATGATCAACACGATGATTGCCGCCATTATCAACACGATGATTGCCACCATGATCAACACCATGATTGCCACCATGATCAACACGATGATTGCCGCCATTATCAACACGATGATTGCCACCATGATCTACACCATGATAGCCATATCCACTATCATGATTGCCACCATGATCAACACCATGATTGCCACCATGATCAACCTCATGATTGCCACCATGATTGCCATATCCACTACCATATGCAAGGTAATCTCCTTCACCATGATTGCCACCATGATTGCCTATATGCACACCATATCCGCTACCATCATGACCATATGCAACATCATCTCCGCCACCATGATTGCCACCATGCAAGACATATGCTAAATGTGCATTTATGCACACGGCTGACAAAAGGAAAAGCAGAGCAATGGCGAGCTTCATTTTTAGCTAAAAATATTATATAGATGATAAATGAAAGTGAAATACAGACAGCAGTTAATTATCACATTTTCTCAGAATCTAAAATACTTTTATTTTATAAACTGTAGTGTACATTAAATTGATTATTGGTTCATTTGTCAATGTATGTTCGGTCCATTTTACTGCCTCACGGGTATCATGTTTCTGAAGGGAATGTTAACGCACAATTTACTCTATATATTTGGTTGTGACTGTTAATAAATTAAAAATGTTAAAAAAAGAGATGGGGTCAAAGTTGCTAATAGTCTTCAATCTTTACTTGAATTCATAGTATCACAGCTTAAAAGGTGGAAATTGAGTAACTAACAATATTATGGTTTATTTTCAATGAGATCATCAAATTATAAACGGCTGAAGATAGCCAAAACATCAGAAACATTTAGCATTGAATAACATTTTGAATTTGTAGATTTATGTAAAATTATGAATCAATATTTTTAGTGAATGAGTACGCCCCCTTAAAAGATTCATTTCTTTCGTCTTCACTATTATCCAGAGATAGTGTTTAGGTCACCCTTAAATTGTTTGTTTGATGTTACCTACTCAATGCCTTGTATGGTTTGGTAGGTAGGTAGGGATTTTATTTTTTATTGGCCAACAACATAAGTTATATGGTTGAGACAAGAAAACGACGTTATTAACAAAAAAAATTGAACCGATTTGTGTCATAAAATTTTTAAGGTAGGCTGCTTTTAACGTGAGTAGATAGGCAACATCAAACAATCTTAATTTTATTTTTGGCCTTAAAAACGTTTACAAATGGTTGTTTTCCAGTAAGTCATATACATTCAATAATATTCAAGACAATTACAAATTGACAATTCATCAGTCTTTAATATATGAAAAAGAAATTAGACCACTACAGTTGGTGGACATTTAAATGTCATTGCTGATGTATGACTCACATGGCGAGGATACTTCGTCACACGCAAAGATACGTTTCTTTTTTCATAGGAAAACTGCTCGCTTCAAGGAATGTTGACACAATGAAATTCTACTTGGAAAAAACATTATCAACAAAATACAAAAACCAGGCTGTATAATGCTTGCATGCAGCGTGAAATTCTCTTTTTGATGTGAACATCGTAAAAACAGAACATGATATAGTTTGCACTTCATTAATTTAAAGATACAGTTTGCACCTAAAATGTTCTATAGTTATAATTCAATGTGTTTGTGCTGTTAAACTTACACATAGCAAGTTTATACAGATATGTGCTTACGCTATTTTCATTCATAAAAGCACTGGATACAATTTTGCCCGAAATGCAAATATAACTGGAAAATATGAGATACACCAAGGTAAGGTAATTTTAATCAGAAATTCAAAGTTGGACCTAAACATCCATGTATAATTCCGTACTATACTTGAAGGGATCGGTATCGATGTATTCAATAATATATCACTTTAAGTTGTGTCGTCTGCTGAAGCAGTTGAAAATCAATTTTACAAATATTCAGAGAAATGATATTACTGCAAAGATACACAAACTCATTTCTGAAACTTCCAATTAAGACTAGTAAACTTTTCAAAATTTTGTTTATATATCTTAGTCAAATATGTTAATTTCATATCTTAGTCAAATATTATAAAATCTTCGGCATTTAATCAAATGGCCGCCGATTATTTTCAATTATAAAATCTTCGGCTTTTAAAAGTCTGACCCCCGCCGATTATTATCAAATGTAAAATCTTCGGCTTTTAATCAAGAGCCCGCAGATTATTTTCAATAATAAAATCTTCGGCTTTTAATCAAGATCAAGAGCCCACCGATTATTATCAATAATAAAACCTTCGGCTATTATAAACCAAACCAAAAACGGGCGTATAAAAAAATAAAGAAAGGAACAATGAAATGGAGAATAAAGAATAATGGAGTGTTGTATTGAGTGATTGAAAAATAATGGGGAAAAATATGAAGAATACAGAAAAAATGACCTAAAATTTTGAACAATACAGAAATGACATTGAATGAAAGACCCCAAAACCCTATCCAGACTTTTGTATAAAATAAGGAGATGTGGTATGATTGCCAATAGAAACAACTACCAGTAGCTGACAGAATCCAAATGATTAGGGGTGTAAGCAACTATAGGTCACCATACAACCTTCAAATATGAGCAAAACCCGTACTGTAGTCAGTTATAATTGGCTAAAAAGATGACCAAACGTGTGTCCATGCAAACAAAAAACAGAAATGCCCTAATTAAAGACAAAACAATAAATGAAATCAAATATAGCAGACAGCAATAAATTATAGGCTCCTGATTTTAGAGTAGGCATTTATAGAATATGGTGGGATTAGTGAATTTACACATGATTGTTATTGTACATGTTCAAATTAATTTACCTTAATTGATATTTTGTTACCTTCAGCTGTATATTACAAATGTATTATACCATTTAACATCAAAGTCAAGGACCATATAAACTATGCCACAAAATCATTAGACCAGACCAAAATTCTAATTATAACTTGATCTGTAACTTGTCATGATATAATTACATAGATATAAGAAGATGTGGTATGAGTGCCAATGAGACAACTATCCATCCAAGTTACAATTTATAAAAGTAAACTATTATAGGTCAAGGTATGGCCTTCAACACGGAGCATTGGCTCACACCGAACAGCAAGCTATAAAGGGCCCCAAAAAATTACTAGTGTAAAATCATTCAAACGGAAAAACCAACGGTCTAATCTATATAAAAAACGAGAAACGAGAAACACGTATGAACTACATAAACAGACGACAACTACTGTAATCAGATTCCTGACTTAGGACAGGTGCAAACATTTGCAGCGGGATTAAACGTTTTAATGGTACCAAACCTTCTCCCTTTTCTGAAACAATAGTATAACATCACAACATAGAAAAACACACTATAAAATATCAATTACAATGTCATACCAATCAAAGGGGCCCCCTGTAAGTGATACTTGTAATAATAATCATTGTAATAAATTATTTGTAATTATACTGCTCTCTTAGGGCGTCCTTGATTGACAATAAAAATATTGTATTGCTTTGTATTGTAAAAACTCTGCCTTTATCATGAATGAAGCTCCTTAAAAAGGGCCAAAAAAAACTTGAAATTGTTATGCTGTCTATAAGACACAAACGATACCCCCGCCTGACCATAGGAAATTATAAATTTTACAATATATATGATGATTTAAATGTAGGAGGAGATAGCTGGACAAACCACAGTGGCGGATCCAGAAATTTTCATAGGGGAGGGGGGCACTGACTGCCTAAGAGGGGTCCCCGTTTCAGTCATGCTTCAGTGATTCCCTATATAATCAACCAAATTTTTCCAACAAAAGGGGGGGGGGGGGGGGGTCCGGGCCCCCTGAAAAAAATCTCTAAATCCGCCTCTGAACCAAGATCTCTATTTGCAGCTGTAGTACCAAGAAAATGACCAACTTAGGTTACTACAGCTGTGATCAGCTATAATTGTCACAATATTTGGAAGAAATCAAAATCATGTGGCCATGCACACCTTTATTATGTGTATGAACATCCTACAAAATATTAAAGTTGTACCTTCAATACTGTAGGAGTTAGCCGGACAAACAATGCATCTTACGGACGAACAGACGGACGGACAGGGGTAAATTTATACCCCCCCCCACTATTTTGTCACGGGGGGGGGGGCTTAAAAATTATACAGACGCTTACGTACACACATACATACATACATACATACATACATACATACATACATACATACATACATACATACATACATACATACATACATACATACATACATACATACATACATACATACATACATACATACATACATACATACATACATACTATATAGTCTGCATGTGCTTGCGTGTTTAAGGTTTTCAGTTGTCTTTTCAACAATAACACCTATCTATCTCAACCTTTCTTGGTGTAATGAACCAGAATATGCAAATCTAGAGAGTTTTGAATGTATTTCTCTGTTCCGCGTCTGCATTTGATGTAAGTCTTTGAATTTTTATATTTCCCCGCAGATTATAACAATCATAATATTCGGGTCCCGGAGATTATTTTTTGGTTTGGTTTATAAAAGCCGAAGATTTTATTATTGATAATAATCGGTGGGCTCTTGATTAAAAGCCGAAGATTTTATTATTGAAAATAATCTTCGGGCTCTTGATTAAAAGCCGAAGATTTTACATTTGATAATAATCGGCGGGGGTCAGACTTTTAAAAGCCGAAGATTTTATGATTGAAAATAATCGGCGGCCATTTGATTAAAAGCCGAAGATTTTATAATATAATAATCGGCGGTGAATTTTTAAAAGCCGAAGATTTCGACATTGAAAATAATCGGCGGTGAATTTTTAAAAGCCGAAGATTTTGACATTGAAAATAATCGGCGGGTTTTTATTTTTAAAAGCCGAAGATTTTAGAATTGATAATAATCGGCGGGATTCTAAAAGCCGAAGATTTATTTAAATCCATGTATTTCTGAGGGAAAAATAATAATGATCAGGGGGTTGACTGTGGCTTTCCATAGAAATCATATGTCAAAAAAATTTAGGTTAAGAAGTGATTTGGTCCAGTTAGAAATGTCAAAAATTAGTGTGTCTGAAGCTGTCAAACTGAATTATATACCCATTAATACAGAATTAAGGGACTTGACAGGGGTCCCTGATTCCCACTTCTCTACCCAACTCCCACTTCCCTCCCCTTACTCCAAGAAGAAAATCGATAAAAAAAAATCTTACTACAATATCCAAATTTTTACCCCCTTGTTCCCCAAGTTCCAGCCTCTCACTCTCACTTCCCTCCCCTGACTCCCGCTTCCCTCCCCTTCTCTCTAATTTTGATATAATTCATCCCAAAAGTAGTACACTACACTGTGAAAATCTTTTTTTGAGATAGAGCAGGTACGATTTTTGGAACAGATGGAATTATTGTTCCAAGTCTTTCATAAGACATCGGCCTCCCAAACA